TTAAAAAAAGGTTAAAAAAATAAGTGAATAATAAAATACTATTATACTAACAAACAAGAAATAGAAGGAGCACATATTGCCCTCATATATTTAATGTTATTGATAGCAGTGCATTGTTGATCAGTGTCCACAATGCACTGCTATCAATAACATTAAATATATGAGGGCAATATGTGGCTCCTTCTATTTCTCGTTTGTTAATATAATAGTATTTTATTATTTAACACAATTTAGTGTTCAATCAATTTTACATTAATTTTTTGTTGTTTTTCCTGGTTTGGTATGTATAATTTCCTCCCTTTTTTAAATATTTATATTTATCATCAACTGTGTATTTATGTTATGTTTTTTAGACTCAATGATGACACACATCAAGTGTCGAAACGTTTAATGGAATAAATAATTTTATTATTTAACCTTTTTTTAATTCGACGGTTGGGCTGCAAAAATATTACAAATATATATATATATATATATATATATATATATATATATATGTAATAGTCCCAAATAATAACTCTATTTTAATATATGTATTTTGAAATGTTGCAAATAATACATGTTCTATTCAAAATCTAAATCAATAATAAATAACATCATAAATCTTATGCTGCTTTCACTGGCTTTACAAAGATTCTCCTTCGTTTTTGTTTGCGTCTCATTAACTCTAATTGATGCAATTCAGAATAAACTTCAGCATATATAACATTCTGTTCCTCTTCTGGTATAGTAGCTCTGTAAATAATAATAAAAAAAAAGTGAAATCGTAAGCACACACACACACGCACACAATATAATATATATTATTAAAATAATTAATTATAAGGGAAATAATAGATAATTAATTTCATAATAAATTATATTATAAAATAAGGAATATAATATATATTATTAAAAGAATTGTTATTGAAATAATTAATTATAAGGGATATAATAGACAATTTTATAATTACATACCTGTATTGCTTCATTAAATCATATTTTTCCCAAGGCGTGCTTCTTTCCTTGGCTTTGATAAAGAATTTTTCAGGCAATTCTAAAGGTTGAATGCCTTTTAGATCTTGACGTTCCCAACGTTCTAACCAAGGTCTTGGTTTCAATTTTACCTGAAAATGCCAAAAATTCTGATAAATAAATAAACTATATATATATATATATATATATATATATATATATATGTAAACTGAGATTATGTTTCAGCATGTTTTTATGTTAACCTTTATTTCATTCACAGGTACTGGTGCTCCTTCTGGCAAAATTTCAGCTTCCATGTCCAGAGGAAATGTACTAAATTCCGGTAAAGCATCACGTAAGTAAAATAATTTGGAATCAAGTCGTTTTTCCAATCTCAATACTTCAATTTTTTGAATAGTAGGATCATACATTTCATATAACACCTACAAAGAGCACCCTTCATTATTTTAAATATCTAGGTGTAAACATAGTAAATATGATTTGCATATTTAAAAAAAGTTACCTCACAACCTTGATGATCCACAACATTTCTTAAAATGAATTTCGATCGCAAGCCGCAACCTGATCTATCTATACAAATTCCTACAAAACGACTTGTTTTGCCTTCAGAATGAACATCAGATGTTGTAACTGCCATTATTGTACCTAAAATAATAATTACGAGAGTCAATCTGCAGAATTAACATAATTGTAAAATAGCGAAAGTAATTACTAATACTGTACAGATAAAATTATAAAGAGAATGTGAATGTTTGTATTGATAAGATAAAGTATGGATTTTAGTTGCGCAAAAGTAGGATACCATTGAGGTAACAATATTTTGCCCTTCTAATTACTAAAGATTTTTCATTATTTCATTTATCAGTTTATAGATTTTTAGTATTAGTAGCAGTAATTTTTTTAACAGTTTGATTGAACTTTTTTTCAAAATCCTTAAATTTATTATATAAACTAATAGTATAACATTAGTAAGGAATTCTTTTTTATAATAGTTATATTAGTTATTGTTGTATTAATTATAAGATGTACTCCATTTAATGCTAAGCAATTCGTCACATTAATAGATTTAATAACACAATTAAACAATAGATAGATAGATATATTATAACATGAAATGCAGTTTAAAAGTTGGGCAGTATTATAAATTTGAGCCACATTGCCCATATGATTTGAGACTTAAAATGTACATCTTTTATGAAATTGCATGTGCATACACATAAAGATACAAACCAACATAAAACTCTGGTATGTCAATATGGGCCCTGCGGCTTAACATATCTTTCCTTTCTAATTTCTCTCTAACTGCATTACGCCATTCAATTTTCGGATCCGGAAGAAATTCTGGATATATGAATCTGTAATCAACTGGTGTACTTGCTTTTTTATCATTATTGGATTGTGATACATTTGGGAGCTCCACATTCGAACTTTTCAATTCAGGCTTTGTTGAAAATGTATTCACTTGGGCAACTAGAAGTTTTAAATTGATAAATTAATTATTGTGTGTAATAATAAAGACGGTACAATTATGTAAAGTTCAATACGCACCTAAATTAGTTAGAACTTTGACATTTTGTTTGAATTCGTTAATTAGAATGCGACTAGGCAGGTACATGGTTTAGGCAAATATACTATTATTTGTGAATATATATGGGATATATAAATCATATACGTTTTATTTTTTATATAGTGTCATAAATATATGGCTACTTCTATGCACTAAGCACTATCAACCTAACCTCAATTAAATTATATTCCATAGCCATAGATAAATAAACATAGTTATATAGCGTAGTAGGTGCCGCAACTACCTTCACGCATACTTTTTAAAAACCAAATTTAAATTAATCAGAATCAGAAAAATATATATTTAATTATAAAATTAGTCTTAAGTAGTTATAAAATAATTAATTATTGAAATACACTTGTAAAAGTTGTAATGATCAATTAAAATAATCATAAAATGTAAAAAATAGTAATTATTATATGTTATTCATTTAATTAACTTCCCGAAGGAGAAGTTTATGTTTTCATCAAAAAATCCGAATTGCTAATTTTATGTTTTCTCAACGTTTCAAGCCATTCTGAATCGAATGAGACCAAATTTGGAAAAAGTATGTGTGTGTGTGTGTGAACAGATTTTTTGCCGTAAATCGACGTTTTCTTAAAAACGGCTGGACCGATTTCAAAAATTTAAAAGCCATTCGATGTATCTCGATGAGGACTAGCGTTTCTAATTTTTTGTACGACGATCGGCCGAGCCGTTTCTTTGTAAATCGCAGAGATGTGAAAAATTTTCCGTCCACGTTTTAGGCCGCAATTCTGAATCGATTTTGAAAATTCAAAAACTGTTCGAAACATATTGGTTGGGAATCGACCTGATTAGTTTTTGGTAAAGATCATATAATATGTCTTATAGATCATACTAAAATATTACGGTCCTATGACAAGTAGTTTAATTTTAAAAATTCGTCAAAGTTTGCAAAAATTAGCGTCGTTTTTTTGACGTTTGTCAAAATTAGAACTTTCATCGACGTTTGCTCAAAAACGCGTGAACCGATTGCATAAATTTAAAAGCCAATCCATGTATTTTAATGTGTATTATCTTTCCTCAGTTTTGTGCAGCGATCGGCCGAGCCGTTTCTTTGTAATTTGAAAAGAAGTGTTAAACTTTTCGTCCACATTTAAGCTCATACTACCGAATCGATTTTAAAAAATCAAAAACTGTTTGAAAGATATTATTTGGGAATGATACTGATTAGTTTTAGGTGAAAATCTACCGAGCCGTTTTCTTGTAATTAACTGTTGAAAAAAAAATTAAGCCGATTTTTATGGATTTTTTTTGGCGATATATATCATGGTCTTATAGAACTTACTGAAATATTACGGCCTTACGACAAGTAGTTTAATTTTAAAAATTCATCAAAAAAATGAGTAGTTCTTTGACGTTTGTTAAAATTAAAATTAGATGATCTACTTGGTATAGCGATACAGTGCTTAGTCTTAATGAACATACTAAAATATTAACGTCCTACCGAAACTGGTTCAAATATAAAAATTGTTGATTTTTAAAATTTGCTTTTAGAAAATTATCCGAGTTAACGTGTTCGTTCGTTTTAATTATGGGTAATAAATCCACCCGGAATACTTTCACGCATGAATTAATTTATTTTTTATTGATTAAGTAGATTATTTACTCATATCGGGAAGTTCATGTAACTTGCCTCAAGGCTAAATACCAAACCAACTAGTTATTTTTCAACTTTGCAAAGGAGTGGTTTGTTTTCACTAAATAATTCAAACAAAATTGCTTATTTTGTGTTTTCTCACAGAATGTCATTTGATTTTGATTATTTAAAAATAAACAAAATTTAAAGAAAAATGTAATATTAAACATTTTTTGAATTAATTTATATTTTTTCTTTTGGCCTAGGTTTGATTTTTTTATATTTCAAAATATTTAACCAACTCTACTCTCAATAAGTACACATTAAGACTCTTTTGCGCTAACTTTGTTAGTTTACAAATGTTTTGGCTAGTTTGTATCATCATTAGTAATTTTATTGTGAACCAATAAGTTAAAACTTTTTTTTTTTTTTTTTTTGCATACTTTTATTGTCAATCAAAATTAAATACATTTTTTAAGACAATGTGATGTTGGTCTAAGTTAAAACTTGAAAAAAAATTGTATGTTTGTATTTATATAATATTTAATGGCTTGTAAAACACAGGTTAGTGAAAGAAAATAAAATTTATTCCACACCAAATTTATTTATTTCAATAACCAACGACTAATTCATTGCAGTGTAAATTTTTAGAGATTTTAAAAGAATGGAATTTATTTATAAAACCCTTATTGTTAAATTTGAAGATTCAAATGAACGTTGTTTCGATTTCAAAACAGAAGAGGCGTTCGAGTTTCTGAAACGCCATCTTCGACCGAGCGAACGTGCACGCTCTGCAGTCGTTCGTCTACAATCTTTTTGCACATCTATGCTTTGCGACTATAGGAGTTGGGAGAGGGAGTTGTCTTGTCATTGCTAGAGTTCATTTTCATCGTGGCGATTGCTGGAAGAACACAACGAGACGTCGTCGAACACGGACGAGCGGGCCTGACCCTTCGCTGCCTGTGGAGAACATGCGACCTGCGAGCGTCATATGGTACGTTGCACTTGTGCTAATTATATTTCTCTTTGCGGATTCACTCGGATTTCATTTCGTGTTTTCGAGTTTTAAGATGTTTTAGATTTAATTGAAACCTTTCCTTATTTCTGTTTTTTTTTTTTTGGAAAACGTGTGCTCGATTTATGTAGTTTTTTGCTCAAGTCGTACTACTGTCTAAGACGTACGCCGGATATATTTTAACTAATTATTTTATTTTGCATCATTTGGTGCCCACTGTTAAATAAAACTACATATTATTTTGTTGACTGAGCAAGAGTTCACAATTGAGTGCTGCCTATCATTGTGCAGAAGAAATAATCGAAAGTAATAGTAAAAAGTTGTGAAAGTAAAAAATGACTGTTAATTATTTTGAGAATTACTATGAGTACATTTATACGGATCGTTTAATTTTGAAGTCTTATTTACATCATTATCATCTGCTAATTCACTTCAATTTATAGATCAGAAGTATTGTGTAAATTGGACCACAATCATCATGTCATCAAAAATTTTAAAGCAAAATTACTTTTCGATGAAAGCCATTTTGTGTTTTAAATGCATAATTTTCTTTTACTTGAAAAAAAGTTACAATTTGAACAACAAATTGACAAAGAATAGTTACAATTTGAATGAATATAAAGATGCAAATAAAGACTATTCTATGCTTCGCTGGAGCGCTGCATTGCACACGAAGACAGCTTTGGTGACGCATCACAATGACATTATAATCTATGTATAATCAACTAAATTCAATAATAATTTGTGTATTTTGCAGGTGCGGGTAGGTTTGCGTTTGCTGCTACCAGAGTACTTTAGTTTTTAGCGAACATTGTTACTGTGACGCTCTGAATGTGGTATTTATTGGAATTGCATTTGGCACGAATAGATTTATTAAGCGTGATTTTGTTCAAGATATTAATTGATCGATACTTTAGTTGTCACTATAACTTTTAGAAATTTTCAAAATCATTAAGGCATTGAATTTCATGATTCGAATGATCACGATATGTCTTGCATGTGGGTTAAATTTATTAGTTAGGTTGCATCAGTAGTTTTATTATTAATAATAACAAATACTAATACACTAATCTATTCAACTATTGAAAAATAATGTGGTCGTTTGAATCATTTGAGATTATGCAATGTGAATTTGACATATTACATTAAATTTTAATTTTAACTGTTTTCAATTCATGTTAATGCATTTCATATAAAACCAAGTGCAATTCTTAACTGCTAGTAAATTTCTACATTATATTTCTGGTCATCAAGATGAAATCACATGGAGGCCACAAGATATATCGAGCAAGTTGTTGAGTATCGAATGGCCAAGTATCGAGTGAAAATTGAACACTGACTCACTTCACCGGGAATCGCTCTGCAAATAATTTAAAAAGTACGTTTTTATCCATAATCAGTGTAAATGTGAACAATAAATAACATGTTTATTTTTTTCAGATCCTTTAAACCACTGCTACTCTGCACTGTCCCCTACACCAGGAATCGCTCTGAAAATAATTTAAAAAGTACATTTTTATCCATAATCAGTATAAATGTGAACAATAAATGACATGGTTTTTTTCCAGGTCCTTTCAACTACTGCTGCTGCTCTGCACACTGACCCATTCACCAGGAATCGCTCTGAAAATAATTTAAAAAGTACGTTTTTATCCATAATACTATAAATGTGAACAATAAATTACATGTTTATTTTTTTTTCAGTCCTTTCAACTACTGCTGCTCTGTACACTGACCCCTTCACCAGGAATTGCTCTGAAAATAATTTAAAAAGTACGTTTTTAATCCATAATCAGTATAAATGTGAACAATAAATAACATGTTTATTTTTTTTCCAGGTCCTTGCATCTAAGCTCTGCTCTGCACACTGACCCTTCACCAGTAATCGCTCTGAAAATAATTTAAAAAGTACGTTTTTATCCATAATCAGTATAAATGTGAACAATAAACATGTTCATTATTTTTTCCAGGTCCTTGCATCTCATGCTGCTCTGCACACTGACCCATTCCCCTTCACCAGGAATCGCTCTGAAAATAATTTAAAAAGTACGTTTTTATCCATAATCAGTATAAATGTGAACAATAAATAACATGTTTATTTTTTTTTCCAGGTCCTTGGTCTAATGCTGCTCTGCACCTCACCCTACTTCACCAGGAATCTTTCAGAAACATTTTAACCAGGTATTTGTTTATCCATACCAGCATAAATGGAACATTCCTAAAATGTTTCTTTTTCTTTTTTGCAGGTCTTCTCGATCCAACTATTACTGCCCTGAAGCTCTAACATTGTGAATGACTCGCAAGTGGTTTTTTTAATAACTGCCTATAATTACATGATTAACTTAACTCTTAACTCAATAACATGACTAACCTCACTAACTTAAGCAGTTATTATAAATACCACTTGTTGAGTTTTTACTATGAAGATTTTACTGAGGTTGCTTGGAAGACGGGGGTGAATGATTAATCAGGTAATTTATTATTATAGTATATTTTATGAAACTTGTTACTAATTCATTATTTTTTATAGGGTAACGACACTTCAACCCAAGTGGTAAACTCTCAAGTTGCTCACGAGTGAGAACAATCATTTCATCTACTAATTATGCTGTCCGTCCGTCCGTCTTGTCACCAAAGAAGATGCCTACTGTGATCTACTACTGTGATCTATTGAATAGTTAAGTGCTTAGATGTTAATGAAATAATGAATAAATATATTGCATTTGATTTAATTTGTTGTTTTAATTTAATTATGAGCCACTTTACGGCCAAATTACATTATGCTGTAACGTAAATTACAAAAATATTTAAACATGTCTAAATTTTAAAAATTTCTTGTGTTATTAATAGGGATACTTATTGAATGCACTTTTTAGTGTAGACAATTGTGTAGAACAGCTTCTTTACTGTTTGGGTGTTTGCAACCATCTTGCCGCATCTTGGTTAAGCTCTTTATACCTTTGCTTTGACTCGGTAGAACTCTGCGTCATTGCTTTGACTCGGTAGAAACGCGTTGATAATAGACTTTGTTTTTTTTGCAAACCCCTATGTTAGTCGAGTGCCTTAAACATTTAATACGCCAGACGACCGATGTTTCCTCTTTTTTTAAATATTTTACTTTCTATTATTTCTTTAAATGGTGCACTTTTTTTCTTAGCTATAATATCACTAATTTAATGTCATACTGTGTTATTATTATTATATATATACTTTAACATATATATATACTACATGTATATATATAATATATATCTATATATATAATACAATTAGACAAATATTATGTATTTTAGCCATTTTCATTACTGCAGTTGTAATAATGAATTAATATAATTGTATTATTAAATACTGTGTTACATTAAGAGTTTTTGAATAAAACTAACTGAACTTTATTTGGAGTGTTTTCATTTCACACCATTTTCAGTGATATATATTAGAAACCACCGTACAGTACAGATATTTAAACTGATAAGCTAATGTTATCATAAACATTAATATACTCATTAATTCGTTCGTCGGAAGGATTTAATATTTTGAAATAAATTTCATATATTATAATTTTGTAATCTAATTATATCATGATCAATAAAGTTAATGTAGTTATAACTTTGGTCATTTTAAATAGACTAATCTATGGTTTTCACTCATTTTAAACATGTCAAAATATTAACATTTTTCAATCACTTTAATCTATATTTAACCCATCTATAGTTGAAATTACTAAACCTTATGGTACAAGAAGATTGAAACGACAATGGCCTTTAGACTTAATCTTAGATTAGGTCTAATATAATATTATTATAGTAATTGTTAAACTAAGAAGATCTCATTGGAGCTATTCTTAGGCATTGATCTTAAGCATTGTCATTTTAGCTCAAAGGAATCTATGTATTTCTGATTGCTAAATAAAACGAGTTAAAAAAAAAACTTTATATTATTATTTAACCCCTTAACTTACAATTTAGATTCCAAAATGTCGGCCCAAAGTTGTTCAAACTGGCGCGGCGTTGTGACTATTTCTTCTCTCATAGTATATCACAAAAATAAATATAATTTTGTGTTTATAGTTTCGTATAAAAATATTTTATAACTTGCATTCACCATGCCCGAAATGCGAAGGATTTGCTTCTTTCCCGAATATCGTACATGGGCTATGCCCGTAATATTCACTTTTGGCCTTGCAATCGCTCGCGGGCTCTGCTCGTCATTTTAATTAAGGGGTTAAAGTCTTAATTAGTTCATTTTAATTAATATACTTTGAATATTGGTCAGTTTTACTTAACTATAACTTATAAAAAAATTACTTAACTATAACTTATAAAAAAATTACTTAACTTAACTTATAAAAAAAATAAGTTCTCAGTCTCGTGATATTTTCTTTCTTTTGCGCAAGAATATCTTCTTCATTATTAATATATCCTCATTTTTACGCGCGTAATTATTACACTAAATACATTAATATTCCTACCATATTGACGCAACCATCTCCTACCTTACTTTACACTACCTTACTTAACTTTACACTACCTTAACCTAATACTTACCTACGTTAAGAACTAATACTATTACTTTGCTTACCTTTACCACGTCTCGAACCTGCTACCCCCTCTTCTCTCCAGCGACTCCACCTCCTAACGCGCAACGCCACGACGATCACATTATTAAACTGTTACAACGTAGCTGATATTGTATATTTTAAACGAAAAAAACCTAACAGGTCATATGCCAAAAAAAGTTCGATTCGTATGGCCTGTGTTGGCGTAGTTGGTAAAGTGATGACTCCGTACCTAAAAGGTACCGAGTTCGAATCATACCTCAGGACAAAAAGAGTATTGTTCACGTTGTGGTATTTATTTAGTGTTGAACAACACAAAATTAATATTTAGATATAACAAACTAACAAGTCATGAGGCGGAAAGAAAGCAGAGTCGATGTGGCCTGTGCTGGCGTAATTGGTAGAAGCGATGGATTCGTACCCAAAGAGTGTCGAGTTCGAACCATACCTCGGGACAAAAAATGGAAAGCGTGGAATTTATTATTTATTGTAGATAGCACAAAGATAAAATTGGATTTAATAAACTAACAGGTCATGAGGCCGAAAAAAGCAGAATCGATGTGGCCTGTGTTGGCGTATTGCTAGCGTGCTAGCTTCATGCCAACAGGGTACCGAGTTCGATTCATACCTCCGGACACAAAACGCAAAATAGCGTGACTGTTGACGCTGTGGAACGAGGTATGCACGGATCACATCCGTTCGAATTTGAGACGCCAGGTATGCTCCCCTCGATCTCGATTGAGAGGAGAGATACGCGCGAGAATCCCGTATCATCCCCTAATGAACCCCGCAGCAGCCCAAAAGGGGCGAGGGGGGATTATAGGGGGTGTGGGGTTCACGAACCCGCGACCCTGTGGTCCCGCCCTCGAAAAAGGGAGAGGGGGACTATAGGGGGTGAGGGTTCCGCGCGACGACCACCACTGGGTCGCGCCGGTTGAAAAGCTGGGTGCGTCACAGGTTGGGTCGGTGTGCGAGTCCCCGAGCACCCTCGAGAGCGATGATGGGGATGTGGGGTGAGTAAAATGCGGTGACGAGGGAAAAGGGGTGGAAAGACATGAGGGGAGAGATAGGATTGGTGGGAGAGAGATAGGGGGAGAGAT